TTTCCCTGACTTTCGTTGGCCGCCTCGCTCACCGGATTTAGTCGCCAGCCATACAATGCAGGAAGTACCTACAGCGGTGTATGCCTAGTCCAGCGAGTAGTTGGAGGACGTACGGATTCGATCAGCACTTGCATGGCCTTCAGCTCCCCAGGAGTAGCGTCGATTTCAATTCTTTGAGCCGCTTTCTGAGGATATTGAGAAGCTAATAGCGGGCTCAGCGACACGTGCAAGTATGCAACTATTGAACCACTCCAGGGCCACTGCAGCATGCTCGAAATATGTAATAATTAAACTATGTTTATGCCCTGCACAATTATTATCGAAAATGTGCAGAATGCCACAGGGCAAGGCAAGAGTCACGGAGCGAGCACTGGAGAACGAGAAACGAGCATGTACAAATTCCGGAGGTGACTTAGTCGAACACGAAATTATCGTTGCTGTTAACACTAGTATTACGGTGGCCACAATATGAACCGCCTGCTTCGCCTCGGTCTCCCCATCAGCGGGTTTGGTGACCGGTGAGAAGGAGAGAGATTGGGGCCCTCCCTTGGAGAAGGCACTGGGATCTACGAACTCGACGAATTTGAGAAGCGAGTTATAGGGACACCCTTACTTATAGTACCACCAGCAGCTGGTGAGAGTGTCAAGATTTCAGCAGCCTTAGCAGCGTTAAGTGATATGGATAGCAACGACTGCTTATCGTAAGCTGAGAGGACCAGCAATGAAATCGGATCGAACTTCTTCACTCGTTGTTTACTCTTGCCAGTGCTTCCCTCGGCAGACTTGTTCATGAAGAGCCAAGACAGCTTCCCTTCAGTCTTCACCTTAAGTTCGCCATTGATCCTCTGGACGACGGCCTAGGATTTGACGCGATTGGAGCGGCTACACTCACGAGACGAAGATGAATTTCTCATACCATATCGTGAGCAAATGTTCTAATGTTCGTAGAGCCGATTGATGCGATCGGGTCCTGATGCACCGAGCCCGATATAAACGCCTAGTATTTTATACGACTTCTATCACGATGGATATGCAATTCACTGAGTTGCGTAACTTACCGGTGT